AAGTGACAATGAAAGCAAAGCATATGCTATCCTTTCAGGCCAAAGAAATTTATTTACCCTGGCTTTGCAAATGACCACTTTATGACACAATAGCCACTAGTATGGTGGCAAATGATGACATATACTTGGTGACGTATAAAAAAAGAATGAGAATTTCCTATATTTTATTCCTTTGTACTTCTTTATCTGAAAGAAAGGATGCTATATACTTTACTACTGCCACTTCGGTCATTAAAGATTAGCATTAATTTTCTTTTTTCCTTTTTTTTGTCTTTAGCATTAATTTTGTAATAAAATTTCACAAGGACTAAAATTTTAATATATGAGATATTATTAATTATATATTATAATATAAAACATCTAGATATGTAATTATATTTGTAATTATATCATAATTATAAAATTAGGAATAAAATAAAATAAATATATAATTAAAATATATGGTGTTTGGCAGAAAACATTGAGCATGTACATGGGTTAGTCTTCTTTTAAATCTTGTGTCCTTTTTCAGCACTGATTATTTCCTAGACTTAAGACTCACTACATCCCCAATAATGGAATAGGCAGGCAGTGGTTTCTCAAAGAAACCTGTGTTGTGTTGAATGTGTGAGTTAGAGTATGGTAAAGGCATAGGATTCTCAGACAGAGACAGAAACACAACATGATTATGAAAATGGACTACGTTTTTAGTAACTCTAAATACTTGCTATGTGGCAGGTGCAGTAGAACCTTGGTTAATGAAATTTTTTGCCTATTAAATTATTTAAGAATATGAAGGCAGAGCAAAGTAAATTATTAATAGTAATTTTATCTTGTAAATATGTAAAGTCTTAATTAAAATGCAATTAAGTATATCTTCCACTCAATATAATGTAATTTAATGTATCTTTAAATATAAGGAATATGGGTATAGGTAGTCAAGAAGAGTCTTTTGTTTTTGTTTTAGAGATAGGATCTCTCTGTTACCTAGGCTAGATGGAGTGCAGTAGTGCCATCATAGCTCACTGTAGCTTCTAATTCCTGAGTTCAGGCAATCCTCCTGCCTCAGCCTCCCAAGCAACTGGGACTATTGGCATGTGCCACCATGCCTAATTTTCTTTTTTTAAATTTTTTTGTAGAGACAGGGTCTTGCTGTGTCTGGCCCAGCTGGTCTTGAACTCTTGGCCTCAAGTGATCCTCTTGCCTTGGCCTCCCAAAGGCTGGGATTACAGGTGTGAGCCACTATGTCCAGCTCAAAGAGTCTTAATGTTTTTTGCTAAAGCTTCTCTACAAATCCATAAGCAAGAATGCTATAAAAGGGATTCCTGAGTCAGGGAGAGTCTTATTGACATCCAAGATTCTGAGATTCTAGGATCTTATAATGAATTAGACATTAATTGCCATATAAGTTGTATTTAACTCATGATAGTTTTTGAGCCTGGGGTCTTGTGAAGCATATGTAACTCACATGTCTCTTCACCTTGGGAGTCATGTGAACTATTTTTCAAGTTGCATATAACTCACACACAGAAAACAATAAGAAATAACAAATTTTTCATTAAGTTAGAAAGGATTGTTTGTTTCAAAGTTATTATTCTATTTTAGTAATAAAACACCGTGGCCCCAAAAGAAAAAAAAAAACTTTTCTAGTGTGGGAGTAAATGTATTAAAATGGATATACTTTGTGTACTGGATATTAATCAAATGCAATAAAATTTGGGGAAGAACCTTGATTTGGTATTATCTGGTTATCTTTGAAGATACCCTGATGGGCAAAGTTAAAGTCTATCAACTTAGAAAAAGAGAAGTTATTAGTGGGGATGTTGAAAAAAGAGGGGAGAAAAGGAAGTTGATTTGGGAAGGAGCAAAAGCAGTTTCCTTTCCATAAAGCAAAAGAAATAGTTGAGAAGTAGCTCTTCATTGATAGCTTCTCAAAATCAATAGTATAACTGAATTCTGATTATCTATTCTCATTAATATACTGACCCATGGCCACTTAGACAAATTAATTTTCATCCTTTTTTGTTGGGGGAAGAAAAAGTATTCTATCTTTTGTTGTTTGGGTGAGAGCTTAAAATGAGCCAAGAAGCAAGCAAAAAAAAAAAAATCTTCAAAATATACTTATTATTTTACTATAAGCTAATAAAGATCTGAGAAGGTTGTAGCAGTAAGAAAAAGTTGGGATCAAGAAATTTAGTATTTTTATTTCCTATATTCTTAATGTCTGGCTTCTTACCATATATCCTAGATCATTTTATTGAGAAATTAAAATGATTTGTAGAGGAGTTGTCAGTATTCTTTTAAAGGTAAGTCATTTTGTACTACACTTTGATCTTAGCCAAAGGCCAAGAAACAATGCTGGGGAAGTAATTTTGTAATGATTTTATTATAGATCCATTAAAATTCTTAGTATAATACATCATTCAATAAACCTTCACCATTTACATAGGGAATCAATATTAACAAGTAAGTCTGTAACAAAATTATTCTGAACAAAATAAATTATTTTGTAGTGTACAAAGTTATTCTGAATAAAACTTTTAAAAATAAACCATTGTAAAATAGATTTATTTTAATAAACTATTCAGAATAATTTGTTTTTAAGAAATTGGGCACCTTAGGCTCTTAGGCTGGGCCTGGTAGCTCATACCTGTAATCCTAGCACTTCGGGAGGCCAAGGCAGGAGGATTGCTTGAGGCCAGGAATTGGAGACTAGTTTGGGAAACAGAGCAAGACCCTATCTCTACAAAAAATAAAAATAAATCAATAAATTAGCCAGGCATGTGGTACATGCCTATTGTCCTAGCTACTTGGGAGACTGAGTTTGGAGGATCACTTGAGCCGTGGAGTTCAAGGCTACAGTGAGCTCTGATCATGCCACTGCACTCTAGCCTGGGTGATAGAGTGAGATCTTGTCTTAAAAAGAAAAAAAAAAAAAAAGGAAAGAAATTGGGTATCTTAATCAATCAACAATCTGAATTCTTACTTTCTAACGGTTCCCATTTTCCATTGCTTATGTTTTCTTTTCCTGAGATCTCAGACATTGCTTTATTTAAACCACCTATCATCTCTCAAATCTCAGTTGTTTAAGAACAGTACATTAGCCTTCCCTCAAGCTAACCTAATGGTGTTTTTTTACTAGTAATGAAATTGAGCTCTCATTTTTTTTTTTTTTTTTTTGAGACAGAGTCTCGCTTTGTTGTCCAGGCTAGAGTGAGTGCCGTGGCGTCAGCCTAGCTCACAGCAACCTCACACTCCTGGGCTCGAGCGATCCTTCTGCCTCAGCCTCCAAGTAGCTGGGACTACAGGCATGCGCCACCATGCCCGGCTAATTTTTATATACATATCAGTTGGCCAATTAATTTATTTCTATTTATAGTAGAGACGGGGTCTCGCTCTTGCTCAGGTA